GAAGTGGTAGACTTCCTATTAGACTTGAAATTCATAGTTTGCAAGAAATCTGCTCGCTTTATAAATTGCAAGTGTAAGGTAAAAGAAGGTTAGTGCGTCTTATCCCGTCTATTGGTTTCCCCCCTATATGATGCAATGCCTGCAGCCACACATGAAACAACGAGATTCAGTTCATTTCACCAGGAAAAGAAAATGCGTAACCAGCATACCCAATTCATGACAGAATCAAACTAGTATCTGAAGCATACTACTAGTAGTAATTTTCTATAAGGGAAAATGTGTTAAGTTCTGAGAAAATGTGCAATGTGTTTTTAAAACGAGATGACTATTCTAACACCAGAACAAAAGAGGAAAGAAGTGCTTCCGGATTTTGCATCATGAGATCTGTCATGACACACGGGATAAAATTGGCCGGAAATTGTATGAAACAAAAAAAAATAGAAATTCAGTATTTAGATGTAACCCTGTTGGATGATCATCCATACAATTTCCCCCCAGAAACAAAGATACCATTAGTTAACTCTACATATTATTCACCCCTAAAACCATAGAGGCAATCTAGTCATCTACTTATATACGGAGTAAACACTTCCCCCATTTTAGAATATTTATCCTAGTTTGACTCTTTCCGATCAAATTGGACAGATTTTGATCAACAATTAAATAAAAATTAAATAATTTATAAATACAAAAGCAATTTCATTAGATTTATCTTGCAAAAAAAACTTGGGAAAAAATGTTTCATTGTATTAGTAGAAGATATAATTTTAATTTAATCATTGATTAAAGTTTGTCCAGCTTCATTGTAAAACTCGACCGATACAATGAAGTTAGTATAGAGCAAAAAAAGAACAAGTCTTTTGCACCTCAGTACTGTGAGAATCCACTGAAATCGGCACAAGTTACATGACCGGATCATCATCCAGGATCCAGATCAACCACTCTACTAGTTTCATCTAAAGGAAACAAAATCATCCACATACAAACTCATCTATTCGGAGTAAACAAAAAAAGCATTGAAATCGCAAATTTCAAAAAATTACGCGGAATCATAACAGCTAAATTATATGCAAAGCAATCATAACAATCGGGCAAATTAATCTATCTTTCAAGCGAAATTAACAGTGAAAGAAACCTGGATAAAATCTGGAAAACGAAGAAGAATGTAGGTCTAAAAGTAAGTGTTGATGTGGAATAGAAATGGAGTAGCGTGAAGCTTGACTCTGGAGATACCAGCTTCTGGAGATTATATGGAACGGACAGGTCTGGTTGACATGATAGGGCCCGTATGTACGGTGCAATATATTTTGGAGTTGTTAATACGGAGTATGTTTCATATACTCACTTCTTCCTATAATCATCTTCCCGGTTCGCAAAACGAAGAAAAATCTCAAGTTTTTTCAATCTATTTATTTAAATATTGGAATAGAAATAAAAAATAAAACATACATATTTAAAAACTACACCAAAAGTTCAACAAAACAAAATGACAAGAATATTTTATTTTATCATATAGGCCATGAAAAAACACAAATAAATATAAATTTCCGTGAAGTTGAAATATTGCTCTGGGAAGATCATTATAGGACGGAGGGGTACTAAATTCAAGTCATCAAATTGAAATCGAGGATTTTAATTCTGATTTTGTTATACTATTGTGTAAAAATATGTGAATTTGAAATTAGTTATTTAAAATAAATTAAAATTGGAGAATACAATTTTATGTATTTCAATTCTAATTTTATCAATTTTCGCTTACCATACCGTCCGTCCCGTCCGTCAACAATTTACTTACAAAAATCCCTTTTATATAGAGCGGCACGTGTACTTACCCTCGACAGCTTTTTCGCTGATATTGTTGATGTCAGATTTTTGATCCACAACATTTTTTACTCACACGTATACATATATCCCTAAAAAATTAACCTTTTACAGTATAATACTTTGTTTATCTACAAATAAACTTTAGGTTCACTATTCACAAGGTCAAACTTTATTCACTTTTTTGACCTATTTTCATCACTCATTTAATAAAATAATATAGTCATGTCACCTCTAGTTTTGTAGATTTTTTGATATATTTTTTTAATATGTAATTTTTATTTTTCAATTCTACATCATTTTTCATATAAAATGATTTGAAAATAACTTCAGTCAAACATCGTAACGCGCAACGTAAAATTTATTTTTGGACGGAGGAAGTATAATATTAGTGAGACATTCTATAATTTATCACAAATACCACGTTATAAAAGTATTTTTAACAAAATTTGATGCCACAAAAAGTCAAACTTTTTGTAGTGATTACAGGCCGAACAAGTCTTTAAGGGCCGGTTTGGGCCTATTTTTTTCTCGATAGTCTTAAAAGATTTTAATACTTAATACTTTTCAATTTTTTTAATGTCTTAAAACTAACTTTTTTTTTGTTTTACTACCTTCGTTCCAATTTAAATTATCTATTTCAATTTATGATATTTGAATGAATTCATTTTTTACGAAAAATGATGAATGATTAAAAAATAAAAATTACATTTTCAAAAATTACATCAAAAGATGTACAAAACTAGTAGTGATATAACTATATCATTTTATCAAATAACTAAAAAAATATAAAAATAAACTAAATAAAGTTTGACCCTAAACAGAAAATTTAATTTGAGACAGGGAATACAATATTTGGTATTTCAATTTATTAAAAAATTGGTATAAACCTTTAAAATATATTTAAAAATGTATATTTTAAAAATATATATTTTAACAAATAAAATTGTTAAAATATATATTTAACAAATATATATATTTAAATATATATATTTTAACCTTAAAAATATATTTAAAAATATATTTCTCATTTGGTTAAATTAATTTTCATTTCAATTATATATTTAAAAATTATAAAAAAAGATCTACGAAAATAAAAATGACATGCTATATTATTTTAACAAATAAATAACAAAAATAGGCTAACAAAATGCATAAATTTGGCTCAAATAATATTTTTTAAAGTAGTTATTATGACTGTTGGGTTAAGGAACCCGAGGCTTAGGAGACTAGGCGAAAGAATATCGCAATGAGTCGAGAGTGCACAAGTTGGGAACCAAGTAAGATTGTAAGTATTAGTGTGCCAGAAAACCGTGCCTTCCTTTTTCTCAAGAAAGGATTTATATAAAGATTACAGATGGGGTTCCTGACCGTTAGTCCAGAGCCCAACGGATCGGGCCCACTAAGATTTGGTTGTTTACCGGCAGCGCCTAACCACATCATTATCCCTAAGGCGGCTATACAAAGTAGGTTACGAGTAGGGGTACTAAAACTACTATAACGGAAGTGTGGCAAGGGTCTAATCGCGGGCCCCTTGACCTGACTCGTTATGCAACTCCCATGTCTATGGTCCTGGTCCAGTAGCATCTTAGGCCGAGGGCGAGTACATGTGATTTGCTTCCTGAAGTCCACTGACGGGAAGCCGACCAAAGATGGTCCGAAGGCCGAGTGTGTCTGTCGGGGCCGAGTGTATCCTGATGCAGTGGCGGCCCTCTTGAGACTTCAGTTTCTTCTCATCTTCGCCCAGCTAGATGGGCCTAAGCTTGGCTGGGTTGGGCCGCTATTTTCGTTGGGCCGGATACCCTTATTCCAGGGTATCCATCAATGATACTCCCTCCGTCCTATAATGATCTTCTCGGTTCACAAAACGAAGAAAAATCCCAAGTTTTTTCAATCTATTTTATTTAAATATTGGTATAGAAATAAAAAATAAAACATACATATTTAAAAATACACCAAAAGTTTAACAAAACAAGTGGTGACAAGAATATTTTATTTTATCATATAAGCCATGAAAAAACACAAATAAATATAAATTCCCGTGAAGTTGGAATAGTGCTCTGGGAAGATCATTATAGGACGGAGGGAGTACTGAATTATAAATTTATGATTTTGTTATATACGGAGCATCCATATTATATTGTTAATTACTCTCTCCGTTTCAAAGAGATTACAACATTACACTTACGTATTTAAAAATTGCTTAAAAAATTCCACCAAATAAGAGGTGACAAAATTATTTTATTTTATCAAATTATTAAAGAAAATGCAAAAATAAACAAAAATTCCTATGATTTTTAAATAGTGAAATTTGGTAACTTTTTGGGACGAGGAGAGTTTTGTTTAAAAAAATATTATATACTTCCTTTGTTTCTTAAAATACTTTCTATTCTATTTTTTTTTGTTTTTCTTAAAACGCTTTCACTTTCTATTAAAAATCCACTTTTATCCTACTACCTATCACGTCATACTTTTTTCACTAATAATCTACATATCGTATCTTACTTTTATACATAATCAAATCAAAGACAAAATTAGAAAGTCAACTATGAATATACATTCATTATTTTTCACAAAAGTCAAAATAATTTTATGAAACACAAGGAGTAGAATTATATTGTAAACCACGCTTATTATTTTGTTACGGCCAAAGAGCTCATCTTTTTTTAACGATTAGGACCCTTAATACGTCTTATTGTAAACCACGCTGGTATCTTCAAAGTGCTACTTTTTCATGTTTTTTTTTGTGAGCGACGTGTTTAAATTATGACTGTATAATTTTTTCGTGGTATGAAATACTACTGAGTATATTTTTTCCATTTGTCATTTTTTTGTACTATCGAGTTTGAGAGGGTGTTTGACAGTGTGCTGCTTTTAATAATTTAGTTTATACTTTGAGTAAAAGTGATTTTACTCTGTTTGGTATGCCAGCTTCTGTTTTTCACCACCACTATTTTGTATATAAAATACGGTTTCATAAAAACAAGGAGTGCTTATACTTTCAACTTTTGTGAAAATTACTTTATTCATAAGTTAATCACTCCCAAACACCTTCTTAGTTTCGTATTTATCAACAATCCTAAAGAAACACCAAAATAGCGTAGGTCCTAGCATGGCCCTTTATTGCCAAGTGAGTAGTGACATTGTTTAACTCTAGAATTTTCACAGTTCACCAAAATCATAAAAAAGACTCTTCATTCTGAAAGGATCTTTCCCAAATATGATCTTTCCATTTTACCTTTTTGATATTAATGATCAAAATACAACATTACAAACGGTGAAAAATCAAATGAAAAAAACACGAAGTGAGCATTCAAAACACCAATGTTAATAGGAATTTGGCTTCCAAAAGACTATTGAGGGGATAAATTACAATAAAAATATTATTCGGCGAGAACCTATTATTAAACAAGTTTTTTATTTTCTTGAATATGTACACAGTCTGTAGAAAAGATGACCCTCCCAGCAAACCATCTCTCTCAAGTACAGTCCACAACCACATTTCCAGTATGACACACATGTATGTAGCCTCTCATCCCCTCCCTGTACATACAGATCTATAACACTTCCCAGTCCATGGAGAAACCAAGTACGGAGTATTGTATGACCCGATTCGCGCGAAGAAACAGCCTCTTCTTTTCACGCGCAAAACATCCCGACCAGCAAAAGGAGGCGCGATTCACCGTTCATTTTCACCTCAAATCCTCTTCACAAAGTTCGTTTTGCAAATCTTCCACGGCCGACCTTGGCCCAGCAATCGATGTGATGCCCCCCGTGGAGAGATCTATCTCCATATGCATGGAACCAACACTTNCCCCCCCCCCCCCCCCAATGCCTCATTCTCTTGAGCGAAAAAGGGGTAGCGGGAGGATCATATGGGATGGTTGTTCCGTTATATCCAAATTTAAGAAAGCAGCTGAGAAACTTGCCATTAGAAGTTTCTTCTGCCAACTCCACCAGACCCATTATTTAGCCTCTTATGTGTGCCTCCTCTGCCGCCGCCGCCCCCATGCTGCCAGGCAAAATCCCTGGATTTATCTCCAAACCTATTACTATCATAATCATCAACGGAGTTGTTCTCTAACTGTGGCGGCGGCTTATAGTGCAGCGGGTAGTGGGTCCCGTTCCGCATTGCGTTCGGCTTCTCATCCTCTTCGGAAGGTGTCCCTGACCTGCTAGATTCCAGTTGCGTCTCGTACAGCCTAGGATGATGGTAGGGTCCACTTCTCGCCCCTCCTCTGTTACCAGGAAGAGGAGGAGCTAACCAGTCCTTCGGCAAGCAATCCATGTCCATATAACATTTTCTTGCTTTAGCATCGGCAATAAGAGCAGCCCAGTCTTCAGATTGGGTAAGTGCATTGGCGTTTCCCATCACCTGGTAAAATGTAGACCAAAGTTGCATCAAAATTCAGCACCCACACACCATGGTGGTCTGTTAAAGTAAGAAAATAATGCTTCAAACTCATTAAATCGAATTTCAAATATCTGGACAAACTCATTTCCCTTGTACTCTGTATATCCTAAATCTAAATATAACTACACGTTTAAAAAGATTAAATCAAAAATTGATTTTTCTTTGTATTTTCCAAATTCCCGAATTCCGAACATACCCATAGAGCTCTCCGGGCACGGGTTAGAGCCACATTCATCCGGCGTATATCGGCAACAAAACCCACTCCGTGGTTTGAGGCACGGACACAAGACATGATGATGACATCACGTTCTTGTCCTTGGAAAGCATCGACAGTGTTAATGTATATATCCTTTCCTTCTTCTGAACTGAGAATGTCTGCAAATTCTCTCTGAAGGCATTTCAGTTGAAGCTTGTACGGAGTGATAATACCAACTGACACTTTCCCAGCAACACCTAGAGATTTACAAGTCTTCTGCAGATGCTCGTACAGCCTAACACAAAACTGTGCCTCGTGAGTATTCTGGTACGAGACGGACCCACCGCGATGCGACTCCCGCCCGTGTGTGATGTCATAAAAGATGTAAGGGCGCAGCAAAGGGTCCTTGTAATATGGCTCATCGGCCAAATTGATAACACTCTCACTGTCGGCAAGCCGCCCTTGGTAAAAATACTTGGAAGGGAAATCCCTAATTTGAGGGTGCATCCTGTACTGCACAGACAACAACATCGTCGGGCAGCCCGCTTGTTGAAACCTCTCAAACAGGCTTCTACTGTACATCAACGTCCCAGCTGCTTTGCTGATTACAGTCGCCGGAAGCTGCTGTGGGTCCCCAACAAGCACGCACCGTGCCGCGCCGAGCGAGAGAGGAGGCAGCACTCCCACTTCACTGGCTTGAGCTGCCTCGTCAATCACGACCATGTCAAACCCATGAGTGAGCCGAGAGAAAAGCTTCCGGCCACTGCTTGACACCGTCGTGAAAACAATCTCTGCCTCATTTGCAAAGCTGGCTTCTAGACTGGCTCGAGCTTCCTCCAGGTTGAAATTATTACCCACCCGAAACCTGCCTTCAAGAATCAAAAGACGGGACATCTCAACCAACACTTTATCTCTATTCTCCACCACCGCCGCCAAGTTCTGAAGTAGAGTGTCACGGTTTTGGTCCCTAGCCATTAGAATGTCGGGGTCAACACCAACAGAACCTTGGGCCTTACCAGCGGCAGCAGCAACATTGAGCTCTCTTTGAAGGCATGCCATCTGCTGAGACAATTGGGCTTCCCGGATTTTTAACTGGTGCATCCATCCAAAAACTTCATCACGATTCTTTAACAAAAGCATTTCAGTTCTTCGTTCCACAGAAACTGCTTGTGCTGCCCTGGTCTGGGTATCCACCCCAACTCGGGCCACATCGGGGCGGTAAACTTTCATCTCCCCATCAATAAACCCACGGTCAAGGACTCGGGCAAGCAGCTCATCCGTGGCAGCATTTGAAGGTGCACAGACAAGCATCCTAGGTTTTGGGCAAAGCTTAGGAAGCGTGCGGAACAGGTTGTGATCCATGTTTAGGAGGACTTCATCAATGGAACCAGAGGCAACATTCTCCAAGTTATTCTCATTGTTCTGCTTATAACTCTCGGGTGCCAATTTCTTCAGCAGTGCAGTGTAGTAGTGTTGATACTGAACAAGATGGATCACATTGAGCATCCCCCAGACTGTGTGTGTCTTGCCCGTTCCAGGGGGGCCTTGTACGAGAGTGAAAGGCCAGGGGTCTTGCTTCCTTGCCATCCCATTTGTTCCTGCGGCTGTGTGGGTTCCAGCCCAATGGATTGCTGCTAACTGGGGTGCATTAAATGTTTTGTGCAAATACTCAATGAAATTTGGTGTGAAGCAGTCAGGCATAGCTGGTGTTTGTTCCTCATATTTCGGAAAATGTTCAGGGCTTGGTTGAAGTATAGCACTTTGCATCTACACATTGGAGGATACAACATTGCAACAAAAAATGAGGACATTTGCTCGATCTAGTTTTAAAAAGAAACAAAAAAACATCAAAATCACCAAATACCCTTTAATTAGTTAGATAGTACCTGTGAATTAAGCCGACGGAATGCATGCAAAGCAATGTACTCTCTTTGGGTGGTGGCTAGAGAGCCCAAGACAGTCAGAAACCAGACACCCCTTGGTTGTAGTTTCCTCAGAATATGATCATCGTCAATCATGCTGAAAACAATGATAATAAGCAAATCTTTTCATCAATGGTAGGCGCAAACATGTACTCAACTACTGCACAGCGCACTGACCTGTTGTCATAGGAATCGCCAACATAAAAATGAAGAATTGCCCCAAGTGGATCCCTTCTATCAATCGGCACGTGCCGCCTGACTGTACCAGCAGCACGACCATTAATCTCAGGCTCTTCACCATCACCAAATGTTCTTCTAGATCTGCTGGCTGCTTTGTAAATTAACATCATAATGATTAGCATAAAGATTTGATGTATAATCACAAAACATCCACCATAAAAAAAGCACTTCGTAAACCTGATCCGGGGCGAGGGGTAGATAAAACTGCAACGTCTCCCTCTTTGAATGTCCACTTGAGCTCACCATCTGGAATAAGTATTACATCATACCATCCTGCAAAAGAGTAAAACTAAGAAAAGCAGAGCAGATAAAAAGAAATGGAACATTTGAGCTCACCTTTGCATTATGATTTCTAATGAAAAGTGCTAACTCCATATCAGCTAAAATTTAGATGACAAGTATCTACCAACTATTGACTTAATAACTAACACTTTCCACTTCCTATGGGATAGAACATCAATTCTCTAAATACAGATGAGGTTGAGAATAGCTTATACAATGGGAAATGTAGACCTGAACACAGAAGAAACCTAACCATTTAGATTGAATTAAAAACATGAAAATAATGGCATAAAAATTATTAAATTAATACAGATTAAATTTCCCCCCTGACTAGATACTATAATTTTAAAATTTTAAACATTTAGAGCAAGAATGCAAAATTAACTATCCATTTTGTATATCCCTTGAAGCCAAATACAAATATACAATAAGGATACAAACTTTGTATGGTCTCACGAATAACAGATAAAAAACAAGTTCTACCTCTTTCTCGTCTTTCAACATTTTTTACATAAACTTTGGCATGTGATCCTGTTTCGGTTGCCTCCTCCAAGGTGCTTGACAGCTGGGCTCTACATTCCTCAAAAAGCAAAGGTTCAAACACACTAACATACTCTTCCACAGACTCAAAGCTGCCAGGAACACATTGAAGCTCTGTTTTATCTGGTGTAAAGAAAAAAAATGTTGAGCAACATATAAATACAAACCACACAGAAGCCATGTAAAAAACCCACGATATATAGCACCAATATCAATCTAGTGCATGCCACATTTATGCAGAAAGAAGTGAGGACACAATTAACATTATAGAAAATATGGAAAATGACATATGCAGAAAACATTTAAATGCTTAGACGCTAGCATACGTGATATGGAAATATAGCTATGTTAGGCATAGAAGCAGATCTTATTAGCAAAGCAATTTCAAACTGTTCAAATATGTACCGGAAAAATGAGTGAGATTTGGTTCCCATATTTATCAACATAAAGTTAACGGATAACAGAGCTACAAATTTATAAAGGCACACTAGGCAAATCCTTATTAGACTACATTCAATATGGTCCCTGCAAACCAAAGTACCAAACTAATAATATTGTAGAGTTCATTTTTGACAATCTGTCATCCCAAAGGCTTTCCGGAACATGGACATGCCCACCAGATGAAGTTGTAAAATCCCATCCTTCATGTGTGCCTGAGTAATAGAAAGATCACCTACACTTAATAAAGTGTTGCATCCAATGCTCCTTTCACCAAAATATCACATCGTAGGATCATGTTTATACCAAACAAATTATCATGCACACACTAGTTTCTGCTCTCAATGGAGCCTTTTTGGGGTAGAGCAGCCAAAAATGAAAAAATAACAATTACTTCGTATTTTTTTGCAAATCCGCCCATAAATTACTGCTCAACTCGTACTCTTAACGTGCCGACTAAGCTTTCCAGAAATTATTATTATTCTTTATTTTTCCATTTTGCTGAGTGGGGAGGGGAAAGGAGGATTGCTTGACATGAACGAGCATAAATCCACAAAAGCCAACAGCACAACAAATGAAACAGAAGCTTCAAAGAACACGATTGAAATATTGAAAACCAAATTAGATACCTGAATAATTCCAAAGCTTTTCGGTGGTCACCTCGCGCAAAAGACGCTCAACTGATGTGTCTTGGTATTGGGTATTTAAGACAGATTGCTTCTTTGAAGGAAGCTTTTTTGACCCCAACTTCGTATCTAGAGAGTTTTGACCAGTCAAGGCAGGCTTTCTACTGGGAAACTGGGAACTCTTGGATTGTGGTTGCCTATGATCTGAAGCTTGACTCCAAGAACTCTGTCTAGCAGCAGAAGTTGGTGCCTCTTTCACAAGATTTGTGTAACTATTCATCCTTCTAGGAACACTTAATGATCCTATATGCATATCATCATTACAGTCAGATTTAGAACCATTAGGCTCTAGACAACTACTTCCTTGGTTAGTTGATGAATCGACCTGTTTCATATCCTTAGACAATGACTGCACCTGCTTTTCCGCACTCTTATCAGCATTCAAAATATCAGTTTGAGCATCTTTTACAGTCCGGGTGGTAACAGTTGCAGGAAAGTTCTGACGCCTAGTTGAACTCTTTAGGGGAGAAGCTTGTTTGATATCTTCCAGGTCAAGGAACATGGTCTGCCTGTTGCGCTTCTTACCAAGCATTGCTTCCTTCTGCTGGTCAAGCCTAGGACGCTTTGCAAAATTGCCTGCACACTTCAGTGCGTGAATTGCTTCAGGTCCCCGGTTTTCTCTTTGCTTAGGCAATGAGATCGTGTCCTCCTGACCATCCATGGAGTTGTGATTACTCTCAATATCTTGTCTACTATTGTTTTTCCTTCCATTTGTGTCTCTGTCTGATACTGAAGAGGGAGAATTGATAATTTCATCTCTCATGTTGTCAATGCTTTGAGAATTATTCTTTACAGAAACATTTTCATTTTTGTTAACCTCATCAACATTGGATTTCGTCTCCTGGGCCTTGCCATTTACAGAACTTGGGTGATCTTGGATATCAGAATTTCTACATATTTCTCGAGATTCCTCTGCATCAGACCACTCCCCTTCTTCTTTCTCAACGATGTGTGTACCTACAAAGCTCGAATTTGGAGGGAGAGCAGTCTTCATAACCTGACTATTACTATTACTTATCATTGATGAATGTACATTTAATGGTGTGTCCACTGTAACATTATTGGGGTTCTTATCATAACTTATCAATGATGAAACTACATTTGATGGTGTATCCCCTGTATTATTCTCTCGTTGGTAAAAAGTTTTTGTTGCATCAGAGTGTTTTAGACGAACAAACGGTTGAAACCCAGATAACGAAGATGCATGTGAAAAGGCATGCTCGTTAACTTTCACGTGAGGACTAAAAGATGCTGGAAAAAAATCATTAGTGTGATTACTTGATGAAGGAACTGCCTTCTGAGGCAGGGAACTGCAGACACCGCCATTTTCCTGGTCATCCTCAGTAGCAGGTTCGTTAAGATCAAATAACAGCCTTCCTTTTGATGCCATTTCAAATACAACTGCACGGATACTAACTAGAGTTTCTGTATGTACCCATCTCCATCTACTATTCACAGTTGAAATGCACAAAGCATACCAAATATAAGAGGCAGTAGGTAAAAATCGAACCCCTTGCTCGCTGCAATTAGAATGATAAAAGGATAAGGTGTCTGCAGTAAATACATATAGAGCAAATTTATTTTAGTAGAAAAAAAAAGGGAAAGGAAGATTGAATTCTTCAAAATCCACCTCCAAAATTGGTATAGGTCAAACTATTCATAAGTAACAAAAGCCCAAACAAGAACACCATTATCCGATATTTAATCCCAACTCCTAGTAATTACCAGTTACCATCACCACATCACATATGGGGGGTATCAGAGTGGTAAGCCATTTTGCCACAATGATGGCAATGGGGTTTAAAGGTGTGATTGATGTCTCCTTGAGAGTTGAAGAACTACATACGAGCAAAAAATGCCAGATTGGGATTTGGTCACTATGGGTCAGGTAATAACAAATAAATTAGCCCACCAAACCATTACCTAAGGCGCTAACATATAGGGGCACAAATAGGTGCGCCCACGCATTAATTTCTTTTCATGTGTCACACAAATAGAGATGGTGAGGCAATTGTACATCCATTCCAGCCACACAATCAGCGTAAATGCACAACACAATTTTATCACAAATGCCCAAATCCATCTTCGGAGATAAAAAAAATGCCCAAGAAGTTCAACAACACTTGCATCTAAAGGCTTCACATTCATTTGCAAATAGCAATATCCATCCAACTCAAAGCACACACAGATCATATAATGCCACTAAAGAGAACATAAAGAACTCATCCATCATACATTCTAAAATTAAGGCATGTTGAGAATTCAAACTGACCTAAAAACAAACCCTAACTGGCTGTCATCTGATGTCCTGGCAAAAAGCTCCACGCACCCTCGAACTTGGGTCTTCCTGAAGCAAAAAAGCAAGCAAAATCACTCATTCATGTTCGCAATTAATCCAATCGATTATCAAAATCGAAAAAAATCATTTTTCAACATCAGATCGCATCACGATTCCGCAGCGCGTGTTCACATTCCGCACAGTTTATCTCGATCTAATTTTCTCAGTGCACTGGCCATTATTTCTCATGCAAAGTGAATGAATTGAATGATTAATTAATTAATTAATTAAATCCGAAATAAATTAGTCAGATATCGGAGAGAGGAAATACCTCAAAATGGTGCCAAAGGATGGAGTGCGAAATAAATTAATTTGATTAATAGTTGAGATTAAGAAAATTAATTAATAATTCTCCTTTCCTATCCGAAATTGTGGTTGAGCTTTGTCTGTCTCTGTTGAGGAGTATGTCTCAGAGAGAAAGAACTTTAGAGAGAGAAACACAGAGAAAGAGAGAGGAGAGAGAGATGAGCAAATGCAACGAAGGAAGATGGGATATCTTAGGGGTATTTATAGGAAACACCGTCCGCTCTTCGTTGCCCTAATCGCCGTTGATCTGTTTTTTATCTGTACGGCGTAAATCTGAACGGTTGCTGTGTTATGTCACAAATATTCAGACTGGGAAAAAATAAGAACTGAGGGGGAATTACTCATATGCCCTTCTACTGTCGGTTTATTTGCACGAGTAGCATAGAGGCTCAAGTCGTGATCTGCGGATTACTGAAACAAGGGTAGATGTGGAAATTGGCGCTTGGTTCTCGTGCCACCCTGTATTAATTTGTCCGGGTGCGCGTGACTCATGTTCGATGACGTGTCTATATCCAGGCCCGTTTGGGAAACAAAATATGAACCGGTTTTCATAACTGCAATTTACGGAGTTAATTTTTTTTTAATGCTCTGTTTGTTGAGGAAAACATGAAAATAAATAATAATAATAATAATAAATGCAGAAAAATTTTATAAAAAGAGCAAAATATGGATGCATAATTGCAATAGAATGAACGCCCCAACCAAACAAAAGTTTCTTGGTTCCTCTCAAAAATCTTAATTGAACCGAGTCAATTTTGATAAATAGAATCAAGTCACCGCTATAATCGATCAAGGAATTATCCAAAACAGAAAGAAAAACATATTCATTGTCTTTAAAATTGTTGATGACATGTTATTTCTAAAATAAAACTATTGTATTATAATAATATGGCTCTGTATATTTGAGGTTACATTTTTTTTAGTATTATATATTTACATTATTATCACTATAGATTTTATTTTAAAGATAAAAATATAAAAGGTCTATTTTGATTTTTTTAGCTGTCTTACTCTTATTTGAGTTTTGTTCCCTTTTCCTTTATCAATTTAATCATTACCACTATCATTCCTGGGTATAACATATACTCTTATTGTGTTCAATGCAGAAATTAAGGCCAATCGCATATTAAAAAATATTCAAAATGAGCAGAGTGTGATAGAAGAGGGCTTTGTTTGGTAACAATTTTTTCGATTAGCGTTAGCATTTTGGATAAAATTTTAACGGTACAGATTAATTTTGAAAACGCTAACGCTAAAGGCTACCGTCGGATAACTTTTTCAAAATGCTAACGCTAATCTCTGACGCTGATGCCAAACGGGGCCGAGATGTATGATCAATCAGACCACTGCGAAGAAGATGACCTCACATCATACATGGTCACTTAAAGAACCAATTTCTTCATCAATATATGATGATCCATGATATGGAAAGTGGCCGTAATTCTGTGAAATGCCCCTATCATTTCTCGAATACAAGACACCAGACTTGTCTTGATTAAGTGAGGGACCAATATTGTTCAGCTTGGCGGTGCATACGATCATGACAGAGCTCACCTCTCCGTCTAAATAATAAGAGGTATTTTAGAATCATCCATGATTTAAACAATGATAGATATCTTAATTTTGTAACTTTTGAGTGATTGAACAATATAGAAATCTGTTGGTGCTATTGGGCATTAGTCAATTACTTTTATATCTTTTGTTATCTCTTTCCTTTTTTCTTCCTTTATGCTGTTATATAAATAACTCCTGTAGTCGGATACTTTTTTGGCCTAATGAGAGAGAAAGATATTTTCTGTTATTTCCTTTTCTTCTCGTCTCTCTCTCTCTTCATGCTTCACATGAAGATTCATGGAGAAATTCCAGATCTGCTGCAAATCAACATGGTATCAGAGCTAAAATCTGCCTTCTCAGGTCAATTTCACTGATCGCTCATTAGTTCCTTCTTCTTCAACTGATCCTTCGATCGTCTCTTTTGTTTCTGAACGAGTCATTCTCTGTTCTCTCCTTTCTGTGTTCTGATGGAGAACAACAATTAGATCACGAGCACGTCAACCAATCCTTTGTATCTTCATCCCTCAGATCATCCGGGATTGAGTCTCGTCTCAAAACAATTTGACGGAACTAATTTTGGATCATGGCAGAAATCTATATCAATTGCCCTATCAGCCAAGAACAAATTAGGTTTTGTCAAAGGAACTATAGAGAAACCAGTCAACAACCAACAGCTTTTGAATGCTTGGCAGCGTTGCAACGATATGGTGACATCCTGGATTCTGAATGCTCTACACAAGGACATTGCAGAAAGCGTGTTGTACGCAAATTCTGTGGCAGAAATGTGGAATGAACTCGAAGAACGTTTTGGCCAATCAAATGGAGTCAGACTCTATCAATTGCAGAAGGAAATCTGTTCCATGACACAAAAAAACTCTGATGTTGCTTCTTATTTCACACGACTCAAGACGAATTGGGATGAATTAAACATTGTGTCTAATCTTCCTCATTGCACCTGTGGAGCAGCTCAAGCACTGAACAATTATCTGGAAGGACAGAAGCTATTTCAATTTTTAATGGGACTAAATTCTAATTACAATATCATTAGAGGAAACATTCTTGTGATGAGACCATTGCCTACAGTCAACCAAGCCTATGGACTGATCATTCATGAAGAAAAACAGAGAGAGGTGCAGACTTCCAGTTCCTTCAATACAGATCATGCTTCTTTGAATGCTGTTGGCCATAACACCTCCAAACCAAACTATGTCCAAGGAGGATACAGAGCTAAATACGACAACAAGAGAATAATCTGTGAGTGATCACTGTAAAAAGCCAGGTCACACAGCTAACAAGTGCTACAGATTGATTGGATTTCCTAAGGATTTCAAGTTCAACCGCAATAAGAAAATGGCAGCACAAGCTTCTGCAGATGATGATTCTAGTCAGAATTCAACTGAAGTCTATACTAAGAATGAGGTCAACAATAATGAGTTGTACACACAGTTTATGAACTTCATGAATTTTATGCAGACCAATCCCAATGAACATAGTTGTGCCAATTCTGTGGAAAGTTCTAACTCTCATGCCTTTTCTACCCACATGGCAGGTATGACTCTAACTCAATCTAAGGCTTTGCATCCACATTTGTGTAATACTGTGTGTTTCATTGATGATTATGCTTGGATTTTGGATACTGGAGCCACAGATCATATGTGTGCTAATCAAACCCTCTTTATTGATATCAAAGTCTTACCTCATCCTCAATATATCTCTCTTCCCAACAACCACAAACTCTCAGTCACCAAAGCTCTGGAAGAGTCAGTCTACCTAATAATATCATCCTTGAAAATGTCCTATTTGTTCCTGAATTCAAATACAATCTCATCTATGTGGGAAAATTGTGCAGTCAATTGGGGGTAACTGCTCATTTCACCCAAACGTCTTGTGTTTTGCAGGGCCCTTCCATGAAGAGGCCAGTGGTTCTTGGTGAAAAGCTTGGTGATCTTTATAACTCACAAGGACATCACAATTCTGTCCAATTTCTTAGTCAATACATGCAAGATCCAAGAGAAACTCATTGGGATGCTGCCCTCCACACTCTACGTTATCTCAAGCAGAACCCCAGTCAAGGAATTTTTCTAAACTCATCTTCTGATTTCACCCTTGAAGCTTATTGTGACTCGGATTGGGCTGCCTGTCCTACTACCCGTCGTTCAGTCAGTGGTTATTTCATTCTTCTCGGAGGGAGCCCTATCTCATGGAAAGCTAAGAAACAACCCATTATCTCTCTTAGCTCTGCCGAGGCTGAATATAGATCCATTAGGAGGGTGACAGCTGAACTAGCTTGGCTTTCTCGTTTACTGGCAGAGTTTGACATTTCCAATATTCTACCTATTCAAGTTAAATGTGACAGTCAGGCCGCAATATACATTGCCACCAACCCTGTATTCCATGAGCGTACCAAACATATCGAGATAGATTGTCATTTTGTTCGTGATAAACTTAAGGAAGGCCTCATCACTCTTATTCATGTTCCTACTGGTGGTCAGCTAGCTGATATCTTCACCAAAAGTCTACCTGGACCTGCTCATCATAGGATACTTTCCAAGTTGGGGGTTCATCCACCCACCAACTTGAGGGGGGGTGTTGGTGGTATTGGGCATTAGTCAATTACTTTTATATCTTTTGTTATCTCTTTCCTTTTTTCTTCCTTTATGCTGTTATATAAATAACTCTTGTACTCGGATATTTTTCTGGCCTAATGAGAGAGAAAGATATTTTCTGTTATTTCCTTTTCTTCTCGTCTCTCTCTCTCTTCATGCTTCACATGAAGATTCATGGAGAAATTCCAGATCTGCTGCAAATCAACAAAATCATTATTTATCGATTTATTAAAGACTTAACATTATCAATTTTTGACAGTGACACCTCTCATCTCTTTAAATATCTTGTAGAGGGAGAAAAGATAATCAATTCTATTGCACAAAGTATATTATACTCTCGAGATAGCATGAGAAAATAATATATTTGATCTTCCTCGACATTCGATATTAGGCGATACTTTGCATATTTTCTCTTGAATTGCCTTTTATATTTAATCCAATCAAGTTCTGATTTATCATACCATACCCGTGTATACTAACACCGTACCATCACCCAACATCATATATTATTTCTCATTTCATCTATCATCATCGGTGTGTTCCAATATTCTTGAATTTTCTTTGAATTTACTTTATGAACCTGCGCCACCTCGACCAAGTCAGAAACATTGAAATCTAAGCAGAAGTTAGTTTAAACAACGAAACCGGTTTGTTGTTTAGTTTTTTTAAACATCTACTACCTTCGTCTCATAGTATTTGTCCAGTTTGACTTTTTCGAGTCCAACTGGACAAACTTTGAACTCCAATTACTCTCAATTTGTATTACATATTAGCATAATGAAATACAATTTTAAAAGTTTTCAATACGATAAATCCAATAAAGTCCTTTTTATATTAAAATATTTTACGGTTTTTATTTAATTGAAGCTAAAAGTTTGTCTAGTTTGACTCGAAGAAGTTAAACTGAACAAATATTTTGGGACAAAGGGAATATTTCTTTTGTCGCCTTCAATTTTTTAGAATTATTAATATTTATGTAGTCAAATAAATTTTGTTCTTTGCATGTTTTCATCTATCTGATTATAAAAAATAATTATATCACTTCTTGCTTTGTACTCAAATAGATCTTTTGATGTATTTTTTTAAATTATAAATATTATTTTTAAAATTTTTACAAATTTAAAAAAAAAGAGTAAATTTCATAATTGGTCCTCTATAACATGAGGGGTTCCCTATTTAGTCCTCTATTATCAAATATTACCCCAGTGGTCATTCTTTTATGGGTATCTTTCCACAAATAGTCCTTTTTGATCTTCTATCATGTTGGTGTTAATTTGAGGGCTAAAAGTGTAATTCCACAATGATAATATATCTTTTTTGTCATACACAATTCTAAAGGTTTTTCCGTTTGCGTTGTTTGTCAATTACATTTGCTTTCTACTACAACCATAATCTACAAATGTAGTCTTCCATCGGAATCCTAGCCCACAATCATAGCCATTATTTTTGTGTTATCCACTTAATCAATATCAGAACACGTCACTAGACATAATGTTGATGTCAAATTATACTTTTAGCCTTTAAATTAATACTCACATGACGAAAGATCAAAAAAAGAATCATTTGTGGAAACACACCCTTAAAAAGAGACTACGAGGGTAATATTTGATAATAGATGGCTAAATATGGAAACCCTCATGTTATAAAGGATCAATTATGAAATTTACTCAAAAAAATCGATAATGTCATCAATTATACTACTACATCTGTCTTAGAAAAAAATGGACAAATGAAGCATATCAATCTTTACAAATCTAGCTAAATAAATTAAAACTAAAGCATTTAAATTACGGCCGGTTCCATGGCCATTGGATTCCAGTGATCACGGAAGCCACTGCCCCCCATACGGAGCTTCGTTTATAAAATTGATGATTCTTTCTCCCTCTAACTCCCCCAGTAAATCCCTCCGCCAAGTTCCGACCCAAACTAATCACCCCACCTACGTCAATTGCATCTTGTAAGTATAATTGATTTTAGAATCAAAAGTTTTGACTTTGTACTTACGAGGTGCAATTGGCGTAAGTGGGGGGGTGATTAGTTTGGGTCGGGACTTGGCAGGGGAATTTACCATGGGGGTTAGAGGGGGTATGAATCATCAATTTTATGAACGGAGCTCCGTAGGGGACAACGGCTTCTGTGGCCACTGAAATCCACTGGCCATGAAACCGGACCGTTTAAATTATACTATGATCACCCTGATGTAATCTTCTCGTTTCTACTTTTTCTCTATCTAGATTTAATATTTCTCAGATCATATGCATGTGTGTTAGGAAGAAATTGTTGCCCTTTAATTAAAATTTTCCAACAACTCGACTATTTTCACTTTAGCAAGGATATTTCGAACACATCTATCTAATCAACGTCCCTTAAAATGAGTATATCGTACTCATGAATTATATTTGTAGAAGAATTACGTCTAAATAACATTAAAACATGTAATGCATGACAAAATTATACTCACTCTGTCTCAAAATGTTTACACTTTACATAAAGTGAAAAGAAATTTCAAGTTTTTAAAATTTATTTTATTTAAAAAGTAGCAATTAAACTTAGATATTTAAAAACTACGTCAGAAATTATGTAAAATAAAGGTGATATGAATATTTTATTTAATAATCAATTAAAACACAACTAAATTAAATTTTCATGACTTTTGAATTGTGAAAAGTGTAATTCTTTTTTGAACAGAGAGAATATCATATACGGAGTATGTTTTATCTCATAAATAAGAGTGGTAGCACTATGAAATGTCTAGAGTTTTGCACTATGAAACGTCTAGGTTTCTGCATAAAAAATAGATGTTATACCATGAATTTTCATACACTTAGCACATGTACGGCAATCGCTGGATTGGAGACTTGGTCTGAAAAATTACCGGAGAGACTACTTACGAGTCAATTTGAAAATATAGCGGCATGGTAAATACTCAAAATAATTTAGGAAGCTAAAGATTATTTTCATAAAAATATAAAAACCTAACAAGTCATTTTTTAAATGATACTGTATGAAGTCATATGGTTCATTTGGTTCAATTGGTCACTGAATCGGACTAGAAATGTATTTGAAACACGGTCCAACCGTCCAACACGTTAATTTGGTCCGATTCAGGCTTCCACACAATGGGACAAAAAACGGGCGGGAAAATGATATCTGTATTGAGAAGGATAAAGATAAGAAAAAGATAGAGATGAAGATAAACAAACGTAATTAAATAAATTAAATTTAGATGGATTTAGATCCAACTTCAAACAACTGACTTAAAACCTTCTATAAAAATTCAATTCACGACTCATCGATCTCATCAGTGGAAACGATGCGGCGGCAGATTGTGAAGGAGGATCTAGCGGCGGCGGAGGAGCTCGGGGTGGCGGGTTTAGCGGTTCTGTTACCAGCGGGGGAGGATCGCGAGGTGGCGGCGGCGGTACGAAGAGTCGTAGCGGCAGAGGCGGTACTGTAACGAGCAGCAGAGCCACGGCGGTGGGCCGATCGAATGCTTCCAGCGGCAGACGTCCATCCACAGTTGTATTAGGAGGATGGACATCCGTAACAATGGCGTTCCTGGCTTACAATCCAGATTCGGATCCCAATTTGAATCCGCAGATTGGTAAGTACTCACCAAATTATCGATCTGATTACGGCTTTTCAAATTCTCAGATCTATGTACGTACTAAATATATTAATAACTCCGTGTACTTGTTCGGTTTGACTTTTTTAAAACAAATTGGACAAATTTAAAACTCTAATTACTCTCAATTTATATTGCATATTAGCATAATGAAATACAATTTTGAAAGTTATCAATACGATAAATCCAATAAAATCATTTTATGTTAAAATACATTATACTCCCTCCGTCCCATAAAGTGTTACCCAGTTTGACTAAAATTGAAATTAAGGGAGAGATAATTTTGTGTTGACTTTCCAAAAATACCCTTGATGTGATGGGTAAAAGTATGATGTGATGTGTAGATTATTAGAAAAAAGGTATGATGTGATAGATAGGGTTTGAAAAAGTAAGGGGTAAAAGTGGTTTTTTAATAGAAATGGGTAAGGGATTGTGGGACACAATTTTTTTGAAACGTGTAAATTTTTTTGGGACGGAGGGAGGAATTTTTATTTAATTGAAGCTCAAAGTTGGTCCAATTTGATTCAAAAAAGTCAAATTAGATAAATACAGTAGAACGAATAATTGTGACGATTTTCAATTGGTTTTCAACATTTGAGGAGTATCCGAGTATGTTAATTAGTTTAATAATTAATAAAAAAGGCTAGGCGAAGGAGGAGATCATATGGGAGAAGAAGGGTTGTGAGGATTCTCTAAATAATCTTTGTTTAAGGGGCTTGGTTCCATGACATTGGGGTGGCCTCAGAGTTTACCCCGATCTATTCAAAAAATTGATAATACCTAGACTTCTCACTTCTTAGATAAACTCACCTCCCGACCCGATCCAAATGCACTCCTTCATCTATTCATCCCCTCAATCACACTCTACAAAATTTAGTTAATTATGGAGTCAAATTTTAACTTCAAAGCCAACTAAATTTTGTGGGATGGAATTGAAAGGGGATGGAGTGGGGTGGGATTTACCAGGGAGTTAAGAATAGGGGTGAGCATGGTACGGTATTTAGCCCGTACCGATACCGTACCAAATATTTCGGTTTGGTATGGGATTTTACTCCGTACCGATCCCGACATATCGGTTCGGTATGGTTCGGGATGGTTCGGTATCGGTTTCGGTACAAATCAGGATGAATATACATAAGTACTTTACACCTTAAAATTTAACAATGCCCCTTTATTTTTGAAAATTTAAAGTGAATTTAAATAAAAAAAACATGAAAAATTGAAATTGACGGCGGGCACCATAAAAAAAACCGCCGGCGGGTCGGAGCGTTTTCCGGCCAACCCTGGCGAAATTGACGGCGGGCACCAACGCCAATGCGGTCGTGGCATCCGGGCGACCTCCAAGGACCCCTCAATTGCAAGATTTGACGAAGATTTGCAAAACCCCCAATTTTGGATCCAATTTCGAATTTTAGGGTTTTTTCGAGTAGAAAAATTCAGATTCGAGAAGTTACAGGCCAAATTAGACAAAATGGTTTGGATATTATTGATCCTCGTCTCAAGACGAAGAGAATGACATTGGTCCCGCCGGAATCGGAAAAAGTTCATTTTCCGGCGACTTTGACCGGCGGGCGGCGGCGGCGGGGCGTGGAAGAAAAGAAAAGAAGAAATGGGGTCAAATTGAAAATTTTAAAATATATAAAATTCGAATTTGGCCCTAATGACCGGAAGTTAACCTAGAAACGGGCTAATGGCTCANCCGGCGAAATTGACGGCGGGCACCAACTCCAATGCGGTCGTGGCATCCGGGCGACCTCCAAGGACCCCTCAATTGCAAGATTTGATGAAGATTTGCAAAACCCCCAATTTTGGATCCAATTTCGAATTTTAGGGTTTTTTCGAGTAGAAAAATTCAGATTCGAGAAGTTACAGGCCAAATTAGACAAAATGGTTTGGATATTATTGATCCTCGTCTCAAGACGAAGAGAATGACATTGGTCCCGCCGGAATCGGAAAAAGTTCATTTTCCGGCGACTTTGACCGGCGGGCGGCGGCGGCGGGGCGTGGAAGAAAAGAAAAGAAGAAATAGGGTCAAATTGAAAATTTTAAAATATATAAAATTCGAATTTGGCCCTAATGACCGGAAGTTAACCTAGAAACGGGCTAATGGCTCATTAGTGAAAGGATTGTGTAAGTTCAGGGATTTTTGTGAAAGGATTTGAAGTTCAGGTACTACTTCGAAATTCCAGCTAAAGTTCAGGTACCATTTGTGAAATTTACCAAAAATATTCAATCAAATCAGCACGAAGGTTGTGCCGCTTAAGCGTGTTATGTTCAAATCTGTTGAAGTCATGTTGTGCCTAATTTTTTTCATTTATTTAAAATAAAAATTACATATAATAAAATATTAAATAAATACTTCATTTAGTATTAAAATTAAAATTACAATGACGTAATTAAATTAGTACTCCCTCCGTCCTATAATGATCTTCTCGGTTCTGTTTACGAAGTTTGATCGACTTTATTTTAAATTCAATTTATTTGATTGTAGGTGTAAAATTAAAAAATAAAATTTATATACTCCCTCCGTCCCAAATTATTTGTCACATTTGTTTTTTCAACAGTCACGGGAACTTTTGTTTATTTCTACGTTTTCATTGGTTATTTGATAAAATAAAATATTCTTGACACCTCTTATTTCGAATAACTTTTAATGTAGTTTTTTGATATGTAATTTTTATTTTTTGTTTCTTTATCAATATGTAAATAAAATAAATTTAAAAAATTTGATATTTTACCTCGGTAATAGAAATGTGACAAGTAGTGACAAGACTGTATTATTTTATCAAATACCTAATGAAAATACGTAAAAAAAGTGATTAAAGTTTGACCGTGTGAATAATAAGTGGGAAGAACATTTCAGGACGGATGGAGTATTTCATTAACTTATGTTTCATTATTATGTTTAATTTGATTGACAAAAAAACTTAAATTAATAACAAAAAAAGTGATATTTAAAAGTAAACAAATGGAAGAAGAAGATGCGAAAATAAGATAGAAAGAGAAAGGAGGAGAGTAAAAAATCAGAGCAAAAAAATAAAAAGAAATAACAACACTAAAGGCTATGATGTGAATCACCACCATCACCCCTTGAGAACGTTAAGGGTGTAAATTGATATTAATCGAATCGGGTGTACTGTTATCAAATTTGTATCATTATTTTTTCCGGATATCAAATTCGGATATACTCCCTCTGTCCCATAAAACTTTTCTCCTTTCTTTTTTCATCCGTCCCATAAAACACATTTCATTTCTATTAAAAAGTCATTTTTACCCCTTACTTTTTCATACCCTACCTATCACATCATACCTTTTTACTAATAATCTACCCATCAAATCCTACTTTTACCCATCATATCAAAGGACATTTTTGGAAATTCAATATCAAAATACACTCTCCTTAAATCTCTTCAAAAAGTAAAACAACCCATGTTTTATGGGACGGATGGAGTAGATCTTGGCAAATGTTAAAAGTCAAAACCATATCTCCATTCGTAAGATAGCGATCGGATAACGGATTTATCTGGATCTGTTTCAAATTTTTTAAAGTCAAAATCAAACTATATACAAAGCAGTATATATAAATACTTTTAATATATTCATTCAGTTAAAATTTGTTAGGGAGTAATACTTTTCTTATTTTTTGTAATCCACATTCGTTTACCAATCGAATGTTTTTCATCGGATATGGGTAATAACTATTTTAAACCATTGTGAATATTTTTCGTAAAAACAGATAAGAATATGGACAATAATCAAATTTTCGATTATTTACCGCCCTGACTTAGGTGGCACCAAGTGGCCATCCCAACGCACCATCATTCCTCCATACCGATCAACCATAGGGTTTCATCAGTCATGACATTACCAATGCGGGACAAAAATTAGTCAATTCATATAACGAAATCTCTGGTAGCCACAACATACTTTCGTATGTTCACTCATAATAGCATTATTAATAGACTTTGGAAGCAAAAAAGAATGATTATGCTCTACCAGAACTTTCTATCCACTATTTATTGAGATTATAAATTTATGGTTAATTTACTTAAATATGACTAAAACATATAATGCCTTTCTGAATATAGGACCATATGTATTTCTTTATGAGCACCTTCATCTTCTTTAGATAAATCCCACAAAAACATCAAAACACTAGTTCTTCATGGAAGTAGCTAGAAACCTGCAACAAGAATGTTGAATGAGCTGCTTCAGATGCAATGGCAGCTAGTGATGAGCTCAAAGGGAAATGCCTTGAAGAGGGATGTTCAGTTCATGTACTGGGAAGTTTTAAAGGCACTACAAAAATGCAGGAGCATATTCAATCATGTGCAATTAATTAAGAAGCACAAATCATGATCGAATCCCTCTATGCCCAAATGTTTGAGCTTTTAAATGGCAATATTGACACTCGTTTTTCGTATAGCCATTGTCCCTAGCAGTTGAAGGTGACGATTTGCTGGTCAAAACTTTCAGGTCCAGCTCTTGTGACCCACGTGGAAGTGTGATAAGAATCGGCCGGTTAAACTACGTACCCAACCATTTTTTTTTCATTTGTGATTTCAAAAACAGAAAAAAAAAACTTATTTCCATTAGGACTCAAATAAAAAAGCTCTTTTTTAAATAAAAAAACTTTGAAAAATATAATTATAGAGAATTTTTTTAAATTTGTAATAAATAGTACTAAAGCATGTATATATCTTTTTCCAATGTAGTACTTAAACTTTTTTATTCTCTAAATTGTACATGAATATTGTTTAGTAACGGGAATAATGTCTAGTGATGTTGGACATTTAGTTTGAATAATGTCTAGTGCCAGTTGACATTTACTTGAACAATAACCAAGAAACATTGAACAATGGTACTACGTACATTGAAAAAGAAAAACATATGGTAGTACAAAATATTTGAACAACAGAATTACGGAGTACCTTTTATTTTATAAATTTTCTATATAGGTTTGAAATATATAAATTTTATTTTTATGGCTTAATGTCATTAATCAAATAAACACTCGTACATTATAACTTTAGTCTAACATCATACTCTCTCCGTCCCTAAAGAAAATTCCCCTTTCATTTTTTCTTTGTCTCCAAATAAACTTCTCTTTTTCCTTAAAAACCATTTTTACCTCTTACTTTTTCATATCCTATCTATCACATCATATCTGTTTACTAATAATCTACATATCACATCTTACTTTTACACATCACATCAAGAGTATTTTTGGAAAGTCAACACAAAAATATTTCTCTCTTAAATCTTCAAAAAGTCAAAAAGGAAAGTTTATTTAGGGACGGAGGGAGTAAATTATTGTGTGTATGTGTGACAATGTGTATGTATATGTGTTTGCGTGTATGTGAAACTAATGAGAGAATCGATGTCATTCATTAAATTTTGAAATATTTATGTAAAGTTATACCACAACTTTATTTGGTTTTCATATAAAAAATGTGAATTTTTCTAATCTAGAAACACGTACCTCTTTCCAACGAGTGATGGTGGATGAAGAGTGTTGTAGGTGTTGTTCTCAATTAAATAGGAAACCCCAAACTGATGAAGCCTATGAATTTAACAAGGTATGTATGCATATGCTGTTTTGGGTTGACCAATTAGGACACTCCACCTCACCATAACGTGTCAAAGTGTCTAGTGTGAATTTGTAAAATTTTTGCGGAACTGATGTATTTTCTATTAATCATAAACCGATATATATACAAGTACATAAATGGGCTACAAGTACAGACCCAATAACATAATATCTACTTCTAATTACAAATATCCGCTAACACTCCCCCTCAAGTTGGAGCATGAAGATCCCGAATGCCCAACTTGAATAACAAGAAATCAAAAACAGGTTTGGGTAATGGTTTAGTAAAAATGTCAGCCAATTGATATCGCGTGGGAACATAGCGCGTAGACACCTCATGGCGCTGAACAGATTCACGAACCGTATGACAATCAACATCGATATGCTTCATTCGTTCATGAAACACTGGATTTGCTGCAATATACAAAGCTGATTGATTATCACAATATAAACGCGGAGGATATAAAATAGGGACACCTAACGCGCCCAAAATGCCATGCATCCAGCGTATCTCAACACACGCGTTGGCCATGGCCCTATATTCAGCTTCTACAGAAGATCGCGCCACGGTAGTCTGTTTCTTCGTCTTCCATGACACCGGGGAAGTGCTCAACATAATAAAATATCCGCTAACGGACCGTCGAGAAAGAGGGCAACTAGCCCAGTCAGAGTCACAATAAGCGGTAATCTGAAGATTACTAGTGCCACTCAGAAAAATTCCTTGACCCGGATGGCCTTTGATATAACGCAGAACACGCAAAGCAGCATTCATGTGATCAAGAGTGGGTGCCTGCATAAACTGGGACAAAACATGAACAGAATGACAAATATCCGGACGAGTGATAGTAAGATAAATCAAGCGGCCAACGAGACGACGATATCGTGCAGGATCATGAAGGAGAGGGGCTGCCGAGGTGGCTAGGCCGTGCGCCGTCGGCATGGGAGTGCCCGCCGGCTTGCATCCCAACAGCCCAGCCTCTTGTAAAATCTCCATGGCATATTTGCATTGACAAAGAACCATGCCCGACGGAGACCTAGCACATTCAATCCCCAAGAAATATTTTACAGGACCCAAGTCTTTAAGCTGAAAACATCGGTCCAAGTATCGCTTAAAAGAGGAACACATTGACGAATTATTGCCTGCAACCAAGATATCATCAACATAAACCAAAACAGAGAGAATATCAGGACCACG